TGCATAAAAAATAATAAAATGTGATAAAAATCGAACTTGTTGATTTAGTTAGATTTTAAACTATAATAACAATTTAATTTATTTTTATATTATAATTATAATTATTATTTATACTAATATAATTATACTCCCCTCATACAAAAAAATATCATCAGAAATATATTACTGAATTGTAGGCCCAGCATTTAGTGACGGGTTAATTTTTCTCATTAAAATTATAAGTTTTTAGCAAATAAAATAAACTAATATTTAAAACTAATAAAATATGATTTCAATTTTTTCATTTTTTTATCATATCAAAAAGTCAAATAAAATTGTTATTTCGCTCAATACAAACGACTTTATAGTAAATAAATAATTTTTAAAACTATATATTGATATTTATATATTTAGTTGTGAAAACCATACATGAACTATATTATTATAGTATATAAATAAAATGTAATTTTATTGCTGAAAATACAATAAGTTTTCAAACTTTATAAGGGTTTAACCCCGATATTTTACGTTAATAACATGTAAAATTTTATCAAACATTAAAATAAAAATAGTTTTTTGGATTAATTAAAATAACAAAAGTTTCATTCGTTCATTTTTCCACTTTCCTCTTTTTGGACACTGAATATTTTCCATAAATTTATATAAGACATGACAACCAAAATCCCCAAGATTCTTTTTTCATCCAAATACCTAAACAGCTTCGAAATTGCAAAAAGAACTTCAAAATTCCATTGATGTCCACGAGCGAGTCGATTGACCAGTATTTCCTTCCCGACGTCGTGTTATCAGCAAAGGAAGTAGCCATAGCAGTTCGATTGAACACATTGATAACGTCGCCCGACACTCGTGAGGACGGTCTTTCATTCATTCTCAAACAAATCCCATCGGTCTCCTTTTGCGAGTTCTTACTGCGGATTCATCCCAAGCTCTACACGCACCTCTTAAAGTCCACAACTGATGACCTTGCAAGTCAACAGGCGTCGCTCTTCATAGTGCACGCCCTATCGATCTACCCCAAATTCATCGAGTTATTAGTCAATTACGATTTAATAGTCTTCGACGAATTGAAAGGGATCCTGCAGAACTCGGAGTCCTCCAAAACGACGCCGAACATCTTAGAAGTGATTTATAATGCCACTGCGATGGTGAACGATGTGACGATCTTTAAAATGTTTATTCCCCCATTGGTCACCATCTTCCGGCAGAAGCCGATGTATCGGAACCAAGCCGGAAAGTGCTTGTGTATCCTCCTCTCGTGTTCTTCGAACCAAATAGTGTTTATCAAGGAAGATGGGATCTTTGCGATCATCACCGTCTTAAATTCTTCCGTCGCGAATGAGCAAAGTCTTGCTGTTTCGATGTTACTGCAACTAATAAAGAACCAAGACAAGGAGTTTACTATTACTGTGAGGAAGATAGTTATTATGAACAACGTCTTACAACTTATTAAGCCATTGTTGTCTGCACAAGAACCTATTTGTACACAATCGTGGCAAGTCTGTGCTTTACTCACGTTAGCGTGTGGCCAGGAGAAGCAATTTATACAGTCGGGGGTCTTCTTTGATGCCGTGGAATTGATGGGCGGACACCCTTTTTCTAACAATTTGCAATACGCGCTCGCAATCATCTTGGCCGTCACACTGGACGCCAAACTCCTCGACGTCTGTCGTGGATTTCTTCTTGCGGACCGACTGCGGCATTGTGTTGAAAGTTTGAATTTGTATGAGCCCGCGCTGTGGCTTGTGTTATTAAACATTGTGAGGAATTTAGTGGTGGACGAGGGACTATGCGATGAACTGCGGACGGTTAAGATCTCATCATTTCTTCGAACGCCGTACAACATTGTGTCGTTAGAGAAGGCCCGTGTGGAGATATTGTCTTCATTGAAAGATGAGAAGACTCCTATAGTTGGGAGAGATTCGATAGAAGTGAAGCGTTGTGCTGATTTTAATATGAAGAAGACACAAGCGAAGAATATAATAGAAGAAATAGTGACGACGGAAGAAGACTATTGTGGACATCTGCGGTGTATTGTAGAAGAGATTCGCCCGGCGTTCCAAGTAGTAATGACGGAAAAGGAAGTCTCTGATATCTTTTTAAATGTTGAAGTAGTAGCGAAGTATCAGGATGCGTTTTTGGAGGCGTTACACTCGAGGTGGGAGAAACAGAAGAAGGAGGAATGGGTGAAGGTGTCTGATCTGTTTGATCAATATTTTTCGGACCGGATGAAAAACATCTATTGTGTGTATATGACGCGTGCGAACGACGCGTGCGAGTATTATCAGAAGCAAAAGAAAGAGTCGAGAAAGATCAGGAAAGTAGCGTTGGATCTTGGAATTAAACACATCTTTGTCCCGACGTTTTTGGTCTACCCTATTCAGAGACTGCCGAGGTATTTAATGTTGATAGAAACACTTATTAAAAATACACCGGACACATCAGAAGAACACGCGAAGTTAATAGAAGTGAAGGAGAAATCGAATAAAGCAGTAGTGTGGCTGAATGATGAGATGAGGAAGTATGAGGACCACCAAGCACTAATGAAGTGGTCGGCGAAACTGGAGTTGGAGCTTGTGGAGAATAGAAAGTACATAGCGGAGTTCCACCAAGTGATGGTGAAAGAGAACAAAATAGCGATAGTGTGTAGTATCATTGTCTTCTCTGATATTGTAGTGTTTCTTAAACATAAAAAGAACAGGGAAAAAGTAATGAATTCCGTCGCACTCATTAACTTAAAAGTGTTTGAAGTGGAAGACGAAAAGACAACATTCATGTTGGTCTTCCCTAACACAAATGGACTGGAGGAGGACCACAGGTATAACTTGTATTTAACTAATGAGGACGAAATGAGGGAAATCTTCTCAACTATTAAGAAGGCGGCTAATGCGGCGAAAACAGAGAAGAAGTCTTTACTCACAAGAAGCTTCTCTATGAAGTACGGCGATGTAAAGGAAATGAAGTATGAAAAGTAATTATCAGTTTTGTTGTATAATATTATTATTGGTGTGTTGGTAATATATTTTACTATATTATATAGTAGCATACTAATATTTAGTAAATTATAGTAGTTATTAATTAATGATATTTATATATATAATATAATATTATGATAGTATATTATAGAATTAAATATTAATGAATTGTTACTACTGAATTATTATATAATATTAAATAATATACTATATGAAATATAATAATATATAATAATATATTTTAAGTATTATAGTAGAATTATATTTTCAAAAATATTTGAAAGAAAAGAGAAATATTTTTTACAAATTCAAATTATTAAAATAATAGTTAAAATGAAGGATAAGATCCTGTAAGAATATTTTAGGGAAAAAAGACTGAAAAGAGATAAATTGGATGAGTCAAGACAAAGAAACACAAAGCCCACAACAACCACCTATCCAAAACGAAAAGCATAGACAATCTATCAAGGAACGTGAAGAGATTCAAGAGGCGGAACGCGTTGAGATTGCTGAAGCCATTTTCGTTCGGTGGAAGACACGAAAACTCATGAAAGAAAGAGACATCGAGTACCAAACCGCCAAAACGAAAGCTCAAAGCAAATGGTCGAAATTGTCTGACGATAAAATACAGAAATTTTATAGGATTGCCACCATCGAGTGCCATCTTCTTAACGAGGATGGGCTTTCCGGTAAAAAGAAGATTGGTGACATCTCAAAACGAAAAGAGGAGTATCACCCTTATCTTCTCTTTTGTAAAGAAAACAGAGAAAAAGTCAAAGAAGAGGGTTTTACTGGAAACGAAATCATGAAACACCTTTCGGAGTTATGGAAAGAGATGCCAGAAGACAAGAAGAAGAAATACCAAGACCTTGCTCTCCAAAACAGGAACAAAAATAATAACACAAATACCACTGATCTTAATTAACTAATTAATAGTTTAATTAATAGTTTAATTAATAGTTTAATTAATAGTTTAATTACTAGTTTAATTAATAATTTAATTTATGGTTTAATTAATAGTTTGATTTGTAATTATAAAAAAAAAATAATTATAGTAAATTTTAAATAGTAACAATATTTAAATTTAATTAATTGAGAAACTCAAATAAAAACAACTCGAAAAACGAAAAATGGGGAAAGCCGATATAAAGATAGACAGTTCAAATGATAGATTATCCGTCACCGTCTCAGTCCCCAAAACTTTTCCGATTATACACATTCCATTTATTATAGGATTTTTACTATTAAGTATAGTACTGTTTTATTATTCATATACAAAGCTATTTTTTGTGACTTTAGGTTTATTAACTTTAGTTTCAAAAATGTGGATTTCTTCTGTGTATTCGCCAAATAAAGGTTTGTCCATTTGATGGAGTTTAAGTACCATACTAAAAAGTAAAATAACTATTAATTAATAGAAACGATTTTTATTCAACACGGCAAAGGCGTTGAAGTGCGGACGGAGTCGACCATCATCTCCTCTGCAGACATTCAGATGATTCCACAAAGCGTTATTTGTGACGTCATTATTCACGAACAGATCCAAGTCTTCAATGTCGTCAACTTCCTTGCATTTTCTTTCAAACAAGACGGCGTTTTGTATTCAACTAAATTTCCTCCCCTAAGACCCATTTTTTCGAATTTCGAGTTGAACATTCAACAAAAGCAGCAGATCTACAGAGCTATCCACTCTTACTTACACTCTTCTTCTTAATGTAATCTTCGATTTATTAGTTTTGTTATTTAAATTGTTATCAATTTTTGTTATTTGAAATGTTATCAATTTTTGTTATTTGAAATGTTATTTGATACTATTCAATCTATTAGAATTCAATAATATCAAGTTACTAGAACCATAAAGAATATAAAGTCTCATTCTCTGTCAATAAACATGTCGACTATCTCATCGATCTCTTGGGAATTGTTTTCAAGAAGATTCTCCCCTTCACTGAACCTTTCTATGGCTTCACGCGACGCGTTGATCAAAGTTAAAGCTTCATCGACATCACCAGAACTGACTTCTTGAGAGAACCGTATTCGAGCAAGACTCTGACTGAGTCGAATGATACCAAGTAAACTTCGTGGAGTGATAATAATGTCATCCTTCTTGTTTTTGGTCTTCTGCCGTTTGTTGGCGTAACAGTCGACTAGATACTCAGTGAGCTCTTTGGGAACGACGGGATTGATATTCTTTGCGTTACCAATAAAACCACGTATGAACTCAACGTCATACATCGCACTCCTTTCACCCACAATACCTCTGTGAGAATTACAAACAAAATTGGCTAATTCCCTGTCAAAATCTTCATTCTGGTTATCGAGAAGAACAAACAACAAATCAAACCGAGAGACTAACGCCGCAGGTAACCCAACATTGTCGGATATCGACTTTTTCAAGTTGTACCGCGACGATTTGGGATTCGCAGCTGCAACAATAGAAACACGGGCATTCAAAGATGTTGTAATTCCAGCTTTCGCGATAGAAATGGTCTGTTGTTCCATCACCTCGTATATTGCCGTTCGGTCGCCTTCTTCCATTTTATCAAACCTTTTGGTCAAGCCATTGAAATACAATTTACTATTAAAAGAGTTTCACTCAAACACTTTTCATTCTACTGTGACAGTGTTATAATGACGTCCAAAAAAATTTGTGACAGTATATGATACAAAAAATTGTGACAGTCTTTTATGAATGATACTAATGTTCCTTTTACATCAATAAACAAACTCATCTATACAACAAATACCCTCATCAGCTAAAACTAAAGCACCCCCTTCTAACACCCACTCTTTCGTTAACAAATCTTTCATTACCGCTGCAGTTAACCCAGCACCAGAAGACCCTTTCCCAGTCGTATAAATACTTCTTGGTGCTATTCCCGCTACGGCACGAAGTAATTGTGACTTGGCAATCCCAGGTTCACCAACCAACAACGTATTGATGTCACCTCGAATATTAACACCGTCTTTCATTCTTCTCGTTGGTGCCCCAACAACAGTCAACAACAGTGCTTTCTTTAATTCCAACATCCCATATATCTCCGGAGCTATCGATGCACTTATCCCCTCATATATTTCAGTAAAGCTCTTCTTCTGTATTTCCTCTTTGATTCGAGCTTTACACTCTTCCGATGTGTTATACGTCGAGTAGTTTTTCTTCTCCTTTTCGATGTACATTGCAGACAAGAACGTGTCTGCGACAAACCCTACATGCATATCTCGACGTGTGTAGAAATCGTCGGTCAAGTAAATGCCCTCGACCTTCACAACGTCACCAGGAGAACATAATTGCACGAGTGGGCCTATTAATTTGACGACAAGAGCTCGCGGAGTTGCGCCCATTGGCACCTCTTCGACGAGTTCTTGCACTCTGATCTCTTGGACTTTCACAAATTTGGACGCTCGTGGTTGCATGAGTAATGTCCCTATACGATTTGTCTTCCTACACGACTTAGAAGGACACTCGTATTGTGGGAGAAACGTGTTGCCGATAACTGTCTGGTACAATTCGTTGTGACACGACCCACACAAATAAGTGATCACTCGCGCAAGTGGTCGGACGTCAGTGACTCGAGTCACTATACCCTTCACTATGACTATCTTCCCTATTTTGTTTGACCGTAAGTCGCGAATGGGGATCTGCTGTTGTTCTTTCTTTGGTCTAAAAAACGTCTCGAACTTTGCTTTGAGCTCAAGCGGATATGTCATCTTTCGCGCTTCTCGCTGGACCGTCAAAATGTCGACCGAGTCGCACGTGTCCAAGTCTTTCGAGTCGATGGCCGGAAGCATCTTATACATGACTTCTTTGAACAATTTCAAATACCTCTCCGCGTTCTCTTCAATACGATTCATCAGACGCTTATCCTTGAAAGTGCCGTCATCACTTTGTAAGTATTCCTCGACATCATCAAGTCGAATTGTGAAGTTCCCGTCACGCTCAAGTGAGACTTTAGAGACCTTCTCTTTGTACGTCTGTCCACTTGCAGTGACAAAAGTGTTGAGAAAGTGTTCAATCTGCTGTTTGTCCTTTGTGTACGTCGCTTGTAATTTATTGACGGACTCTTCTATAGTCATTTGGTTCGGGTCGCGACGACGGCGGACTTGCTGCATTGTCTCTTTTCTTTTTATTAGTTGACATTTTCTCAGTTGTTAACTAATAACATTTTTTTATTTGTTAATCTAATCATTTTTTATTCGTTTTAAATAGTTTTATTATTATTTATAATACTATTACTAATTTTATTATAATAGTATAATAATATTATTATTAATTATAATAAATTCAAATGTCAAAAACTGTTCACTAAAAAATAAAAATATCACCGTTTTTACATGATATTGAAATTTTTATGCTAACAAAAAAGATTTGAAATTTTACACGGAAAGTAACTAGTAAAAAATTAATAGTAAAATAACCATACCCAATTTATTAGAATCAACACATTTAAAACCAGTCGAGTCCAAACGTCTCATCAGCGAACTGGACAAGTGCAAAAGAGAAGCAAATGATTGAGACGATCAGGATTGGCCACGCGACATAACTTGACGAGTACTTACCAGAGAATTCCGTCGTATAAGTCTTACTTCCCCACTTTCTTCTGATGATGAACTTCGAGTAGATTTGTAACACTGCGGGTATAATAAATAACAAGAAGAATCCGAAGATCCCAGTGAAGTTAAAAATGACTTCCAAATCGCCTTTAATAGCTGCAGCTATTAAAGGCGGAGTAGATGCTGCTATTCTAGCAGAATATAACCATACCTTTGGATGTTTCACTTTCCACTTCTTTGGTATCATTTGAAGTAAATTGGAAGCTAATGTGACGCACACAAGGGGATATTCTGAGGTCAAATTGATTGGCGGAGAGAGTAAGACTATCCATTGAACTACTATACCATACCACTTGGCTTCAGAACCATCAGAACACACCCCAAAGCCACCACCGCATCCACTGTAATTCAACCAATTGTGTGTCACAGGCGTTTTAGTGTTAGTCCCAAATGTGAATGAACATGAGAACCCAATGATGACGTAGAGTATAGTCGCTGTGGTAATACCAGAAATGACAACAGTCCGCAAATAAGTCTTTGGCTTAGTCGGTGTGACCACGTCGGGAAGATTCTGGTGACACGCAAGAGCAACAGAACACGAAGAAAAGAGTGTGCCGAACCCGCCGATGTTGATGAAGAACTGCGTCAGAGACATTCCTTGAGGTACAATATCAAACGTCCCATGCGCCGTGTTCACAAATATGTGAACTAAACACGTCAGAGCCATTAACGAGAAACAAAAGAACCTCCAGAAGGTCAACACGTTTTGCAGAATAGCTTGTTCGGCGACTCCCATTAAAGAGAGCGGAATGACTATCAACCCAAACAGGGCAATCCCACCAAGATAAGTCAAATGGCAAGTCCCAAACAACTCCCACTCACTCATCGTCGTTGAACACTCTCCAAATTTCTTGAGTGGGTATTTCCACATGATCAATGTCACAGATGAGCTGAAAACAGAGCCATACGCCTATTTTTTAAATTGTCTTTGATACCAGTAATTTATAGTAAAAATACTATAAAGTATAATACTTAGAATGCACTTGAATGGGAGTATTAGAAGCATCTAAAAGTACCATCTGGAATACTAAAAACAACATAATGATAATATAAAACAAACCCATAACGCTCCATAACAAAATAAGGCCATGATGATGATTGTCGCGATCTTCCCACCTTTGCCAAAGAATATGGCCGACATCCTTGTGTAATTATACACTTCATAATGGATGGCATTGTCGGGGCGCTGAGCATTGCGCGACTCCCGATACGTCTCCATCACACCGGACGATCTTGCCATATTCTCTAAGACCCAAAGAGCTGTTATTATTGACATCACATAGAAGAACAACGTGGTGCCAGCAGACAGCGCAACACCAGCACCTTCAAAGGCAAATGGGAGTCCAAAGACACCAGTTCCGACTATATAATGAGTCATTTCTACATATTGAAAGTACTCATAACAAACCAATATAATTGATTAATATGCCAAAAGTCTGTATTGGAGACATCGTGTGCACTTTTGGAGGTTCCGCATTTTGTTCTTCGATGATGTCCTCCAATGTGTCGTCTTTGACTTTTTCCTCGGGAGCAGGTGAGAGTTTCCGGTCAATAAGAATCGTCTCGTGGACGTTCGGAGACACTTCTGTAGCTAGTGGTGTGGTCTCATCCATTTCTACAAACTTTTTTAAATGTCACAAATCTCAAAATGGCAAAGCCAAGTACAGACTTTTTTCCTCTTTTTATTTCACCAATAGACTTTGTGACTAATGTAATTTTGGTCTGATGTGCTCTTTCTTTTTTTCTTTGTTATTATTATTATTAAAATTATAGTTAAGTTTTGGTTTTTGTGAATTAAATGTGACAAGTAAACCAAATAACAAGTTTATTTCTTCGCGTTTGTTTGTCGATCCTTGATTTGAAGGAATACAATTGAT